AAGAAAGAGATTGATTAAAAAATAAATAAAATATATCACACATCGGAGATGTGTAAAATAAATGGCTAAATATAGTAATAAAGATCTTCATATATTTTTTTATAATATATTAATATTCCAAAATAACGAAAGTACGAAAGCTTTACCGTTTGGCATAGTTTTTCGAATGTGAGGTATTCGGAATTATAGATGTTACGTAAAGACGTTGAAGGTAAGGCAAAGTAGTATTCTGTGAAATCAAAGTTTTTACGGAGGCGAACAATAACTATTATACGTCGACGCTGCTAATGCCCTCCTACTTAGGTGCTTCTTAGAATTTCTTAATTACACCTGCTATGCGACATGTGGCGTCGTGCAAAAGAAGAAAGAGATTAACATTGGTCACGCATTGTAAACGCTGCCTACAACTACTTAGCCTAGATGCAGTTTCATGCAGAAGCTACAACTAAGTATTAAAAATCAAACTTTCTTTACGCGTAACATATCTCTCTCATACTTTCTTTATCAAACGGAGTATCATGTCGATACACTGTGGAAAGAATACTTAATGATTTAAGTAGAGATCGATCAATTAAGTGCCAGGGAAAGTAAAAAAAAGTACAGAGACATTCAAGAAATCAAACAACATTTCTTCATTTCCCACTTTCTCTCATAAAATTACAGAAAATTTATTTTCTTGAATAAATTATTAGTGTTTATGTAATGCTATATTTTTTTTATACAAAAATGAGTTTATTGATATATTCGAAAATTAAATCAATTTGATTTCATTACGGAGAATATACGATAATAATATTTAACGTCAGTTAATATTTCTTACAATCGCAAATGCTGTAATTTCTTCATTTATATCGACGAGAGTTACATTGAAACGGTTTATACGTCCAAACATGCTAGTACAAAATTGTATAAACAAATTTATTGCACGATCTATTGGAGCGTATAAATTCATAGTTTGAATTCACGGTATAAAATATGAAAATTTATGATATAAACACTTAACCCCGATATGTCTGCGCCAATTTGTGCCAACACGCTTGAGCGCCGTTTTAAAAATCAATGACTATCTTATATTTATTTAAAGGAAAATTTTGTATGAAAAAAAACTTTGCGTCCCGCAATATATTTCGAACCCAACATTCACCAATTGTATCCTTTCTGTCGTTCATACCGGTGAGAGGCCCTTCCCCTCCCCTTTTACTCGACTGTCCCACGCCCTACCCCTACCCTCTCGCGGCTCTTCCTCCCTATATTCCTTTCTTCATCGGTCGGTTCAGTTTCCCCCTCCAACCTGTGTCCAGTTATGTTGTGGCGAGCGTCGGTTCGCGTTGTCTTCCGTTGTTGTTCCCATTGCAGCTTACATTCTTGAATGTTTAATTCGCAACGCCATCGTCCGATTTGCGATTGCAGGTGCGCGTTTCGACATCGACGACGATCTATTTGCGATCTTTGGTCTCGCTGTACTGAAAACGCCAGGCGATTAACCCCAAGCGGCGCGAACAACAACCATCGCACACACGCACGGGTGGAGTGCCGTACGGAGGAGGATGCGAAACGGAGTACGAAAATCGGCTTGAGTCTCGATCTCGGCACTTCGTCGGCGATTCACGACACCAGTTGGAATCTAATCCGTCCATCTGCGAGCCGCAGCGAGAAGAATGCGGCGCGGCCGGCCAATCGACGATGGTAGTTAAAGCGGTGAGTGCATTCATATTCGAGTGTGTAACTCTGCGCGTGCGATCTGTAAATGTGTGTGTACGGGTGCGCGATTTTGAACAATGCCGTATTGAGGCAAAGGGAATTCTCCGGGGCTCGCCGACGTCGAGTCTACCGGATTTTCGGGCATGCGACGCTCTCGCTCGTAAGGTTTTCCTTTTTTATTTTCCCCTCGAAACCTGTGACAGTACGCGAAGCCACCTTCTGACAGGTGGAATGCGGCGGTAGGGGTATCGGCTACGCTTGCGATCGGTGCGACGCGAGCGACTCACTTCAGGAATGCACGAATATGTATACCGGTCCACGCCGTGAAATCTGTGGTGAAAAACCGAATTCAATACGCTTGAATTTTCCGGTTTTTCTATAGAATTTGACGATTTAACAGTATACTCATATTAGCAAAAGTTATTTTCTAAAAAGAACTGTACATTTTATTAATTTTGTTATTATTTACCATAACATTTTTTTATTTTAAAAAGAAGAATGTTCTTGAAAAATAAATAAACTCAATTAAATATGTTTAATTCTGTAGTCTTAAATCTTAAATTTAATAATCTTTTATCTGCGAATTCCTTGTAGATTTGAAAATACGGAATTGATTTTTCTTTAATAAAAATTTGAGCAGTAAGGATTTGAGTTAACAATTAAAAGTTAAAAATTTTGCGTAAGTTTTAGTAGCACAAATAAATAAAGTTGTATTTTGCAATTAGAGCGCATTATATTAAACGATTACAAACGGTGCCAAATATGCAAAATTTATTTTACTGAGTTTACACAACGATATTTAACGCTCGGATATATTTTCGATAGATAGAGAGAAAGAAGGGGCCGAGAAGAGGCGAAAAAGAGACAGTATGATATCTCTATGAGAATTATTATAATTTACTTACATAATCTAATCTGCACGTGTTTTATATCGCTTACTACGTTTTATTACAGTAATAATATGAAAGAAAATAATTGTTTCTATTTTTTCACATACGATTAATTTAAGAAAAAAAATAAATAACGATTTTTTTACCGTTATTTATCCTTTCGCCGATTTCATTTAAATATTAAATTACTTTATGCAAAAATAGCAGGCTAGATTTAAATTTTATTTTTATTTTTAAATTTGAATTATATTACATTCGTAAGCTTGAGCAGATTTCAGGATAAATATACAGCACGTCGCGAATTTACTGAAAAATATTTTAGGAATAAATTAACTTATCTTTCTTATAGAATTTATAATCGATTTTGTCTTAACGAATGAATTTTTGAACAATTTATTTGGCTTCTTAATTATTTTATCCAGATATTTTATCGGTATTTCCTTCATAATATCATTAATAATCTCCATCAATCAGTAACAATATTAGTAAAAAATATCGATACGATAATATATTATAGTTTACTAATTGTAAGATTTCTTAAGGATTCACTCCTCGATTTTAATTAATGCAGTTAATCGTGCGTTCAATTAAAAAATGCCAAAACGATCCTTTCGCTTTTTCAAATCGATATCGGCGTTGATTTGCGCGGGGCGGATACTTGCGTCGCGTTTGTCATTAACTTTATCCTGCCGATTAATGACACTTTATGAGTTCTGAGAGACGGGCGCGGTGAATTTAACTTTCACCCGTGGTGCACTGCTTTCACCTGTTTAGCTTGCGCTTAGGTCAGAAGTATTTCGAAACGAGAACTCTGCATCCGTTGATGCCCGCGTGAATTTTCTCTAACACGCGCTCTTAATAACCTCGCAAATGAATCCGAAAGCTGTCTGCGGTTGCAGAAATACGATAAATGCGGTCGCAGAAATACGACGAAACAATACGTTAATTATTTAAAATTGCATTGCGCAAAAGAGGAAGGCAATTCAATCTTGCAACATCTACATCAGCCATTAATTACTATGTAATACCTTTTATTTTATACAATTAGCGCGAATATATTTTTAACAATTTTACGCTCACTCATGAAAGCTTCTTCGGTTTTATCCGAATGATTGCAACGAGGAAATTAAATTTTTAATAGAAATTAAACCCAAAAAAATAAGAATTCTTCGGATCGTTCATTTGTCACAGTTGCGTTGTATCAAGCGCCTTGATAACAACCTACGCCTCTTAGCCGAAGACGTTTCGTTGTGTATGCATGTGTTCCTTCTTTCTCCCGCGCCCTCTCGCTTTATCGTGCACAATAATCTATTTCCATATCCAATCCGTGGTACACGTAACGGCAACAAGTGCCATAAATCGTGGATGCTACTCGTCTCGCGAGTCCGCAGAACTTGCTTTTGCTCGCAGTAATAATAATCATGATGTTCCGCATCGCGCGAACGCTTCATAAATCGCCGGGCGCGCACGCGTCTAATAATTGAATTTTCCCGATTCGCGATATTTCATTTGTAAAAAA